CTGACTCATGAAATGCTAGAAGATAATCAGACCTAATGTATTTGGCTGAATTTTGTGTTGCCACAAGATGAACCTGGCCTCTATATAATAACATTGAAGAGTGGTGAGGATTGACCGAAACTGGAGTGGTCATTCCACGTGCACATGAGTATAGTGAGTTACACAGGATATGGGGCAGACAAAATAGTCCAAGAATTGTGTTAAATGAAAAAGAGGTTCAGAGTTGGTAAGAAGATACTTTTTTGGAAAGGATTATGGGCGGGATGAAAGGGATTATTGCCATAGGCCTGGGGGACTTGCATAGTCTGCACACCTCCCAAGGTTAGGCAGAAGGGATTTTCTTCAGAGGGAAGAGTTAGCAAGATTAGGAACCAGCCAGTATAGGAAGGTGAGGCGAGAACGTGATTTGATTGGATAGCAGATCAGAAAATATTTTAGCCTGAGGTCTTCCAATTCTCTGGAGGGACCCTCAGGAAGGCGGAGGGTGGGTCAAGGTTCTGGAACCTGGGGGCACGGAGAAAATGCATCCTTTGGCTGACAAGCCTATTATTCTGATTGATTAGTGGGGATTAGCAGTTCAACTAATCATCTGTGAATTAAAGAGTGGGAATTGGGAGGACCTGTGTCATAGGTCAACAGTTCACCCTTGAGGCCTAAGGCTCTGGGGGAGAGGTGGCTCCCTGCTGTGAATACAGAGGAGGGGTGGGGATTTCTCTAACCTTCCCAGTGTTCTAGGACCTCAAGTCTCAGATAAAAGTTGATATCATTTACATCTTGCTGAATCTGAGCAAGATTAACTGTAAAGAGTTGAACACACTTGGTTTTACTTTAATCTGAAATGAGATTTAATTGAACAATTATCAATAAAAAGGCAAGTTGGATGCCGTGGGAATGGCCTCTCCAGGTAGTTTCTAGGTCCAGTTATGATCGATCCTTTGATGAGCTGAAGAGAGTTACTTGGGCCACAGGATTGTTCATTGAAAAACAAAATCGAGTCATTTGCTTTAAATCAGTGGATTTCTGTGATGGACTTTTCCCCATAAACCTTCTCTCCAGATCCAAGAAGTGATTGATATTTTAAATTCTACATAAAATATAACTCTACACAATGGTAGATATTAACTTAAATGTAATATGTAGTTATTTTGTTATATGATTGTGGTCTCATGGACGTTTTATGTTTTCATTTGCCTTTCTCAGAAAAGTATTGTTAGAGTTTTGGAATAAGCACAGTATTTTATCTTTTTATGATGTTTACTTTTAAAGCAAAAGAACGTGTGTAATAAAAAATGTGTATTAGAAAGTCCTACGTTTATTTGAGTCTGAAAATAACATGCATGGATTTAAAAAATAATAAAGAAAGTAAGAATGAGGGGGAAATATGGCTCGGACATGTTCACCGAGGGACAGCAAGTATAGTAATGCTGATATCACATATTTCAAAGCTGAAAGTATCAGTAGGGCTCGAGAGGGACACTGCAGGGAGCTTTATTTCCAACGTGGAAAACAAGGTACCATTCTGGAAAGCAAAATAGCTAAGGAGTAGATAGACTGCAAAGCCAAAGAACAAGAAACAGGGGAAAACGCTGGAAATTTCCTGGAATAGAAACCTAGGAGCTGAAACCATAGTGCTGAGCACAACAAACTGGGTTCCCTGGGCCGAATTCCATGATCAGGATTCCGAGCTTTGTTACCTAAATTCTGCCCCCCTGGGGAGCGGGCCCTTGGACCGACCTGGAGACACCGAGCATAAAGCCAAGGTCCCTTGAGAAAGCCTAGGGTAGAGGAAAAAAATTATATATTGAAAGATTCCTAAGAAGAAATCTGTCTGGGCGGGGCTCTGTGGTGGAGGCTATAGGACATCTGCCGCAAGGGTTTAATCACAGACCGTAAGATTCAGTGAAAACTTCTTGAAATGAAAAATTGCCGCGGGCTCGTAGCGCCACCTAGTGTCTAATGAAAGCAAAGACAAACCCGTTATGGACAGTTTCCAAAAGGGAGTAAGGACCTTGAGAATGCGATGGACAACTTTTACAAAAATTAAACTTAACATTAAAGGATAATTTCCAAGAAAAAAAGATAAACAAGTTGTGATGACAAGGAAATGGGATAGTGTAAAGCCATCTCTCCTACACCCTTCAATCCAAATGATACCAAGCACAGTTGGCTTTACAGGGTTTAGTGAAATGTGAGGAACTGATAATCCCTATTTAACGAGGCGTTTCCATTGAAAAATAATGTCTTCCCTTTTTCCCCTTAGAAAATCCATAACCTCATTATCTACCCTAGATAGAAACAAAGGAAGAGACAAAAGAATAAACTATAGTCTTGTCTTAGGAACATTCATTTAAAAAGTGCTATTTAAAGCACAAATGAAAAGCAAGAGGATATGTTATTTAAAAAATAACACTATACATGTAGGGCTTATCCCAAGAATGGGAGAAAAGTTTGACATCATAAATCATAATCCTGAGATATTAGAGAAAAAATATGTGGTCATCATTGATACAATGGAAGTATCTGCTAGCAGATAACACTCATACTTTAAAAAATTTTTTTTATCAGACATTTTCAATATACTGAGAATGAAAAGGAGTAGCTACTTCATAAGGAGCGGCTACAGTGTGCATAATATTTAATGATCAATTTTGGAAGGATTCCCCAAAAGCCAAAAAGGAAGACAAAAGTTCTACTTTTGTGGTACTGCTCCTATTCAACATGGCACCAAGGGCCCTGCCAATCTTTTTAGACCAAGACAGGAAGTACTAAAGACAGGGATTCAGTAAGAAAAGATGTTATCTTTCTTGTTTGAAAATAACATGTCATTGCAAAAGTCCACGGGTTTGTATACGATTCGATCTCACGGAGCGCTACAGGGGTGGTGGACACAGGAAATCAGGCCTTCCTGCGACATCAGCAGTGACCCATCCGGAATGGAAATGGAAAACCCTCTCACCATTTACAGCACAACAGGCGAAGGATTCTAAGACCAGGAAAAACCCTCCAGATCTACATAAATAAAACTATGACATGTCACTGAGGGGTACACACCAAGACTCACTCGAATTGATAGCTATGCAGTGTTTACGTCTTGTGGTGACTTAATGAGCTAACATGCTCCTAAGTTCCAAAATAACCGAATTGGTAATGTTGTGCCACAGCCTGATGGATCTTCGGGGAAGCATTGTACACGTCATGTTGATGAGCAAGAA